ATTTTTTTTTTTTGAACTCATCCATACAGCATTAGTTTTCTTTGTTGCCATAACAAATACAATTTTTAGAATTTACGCCAACACAAATTTATTATTTCACAATTTCTGTAGTTCAGAAGTCTGGGCACAGCATCACTCATCTGGTTTCTCTGGTTAGGCTGAACTCAAAAGTGGTAAAAGGACTGTATTCCTTTCTGAGGAACAACCTTCTTCCATACTCATTCTGGTCAACTATTGATTGATTGATTGATTGATTTTTTGAGACAAAGTTTTTCTATGTAGTTCAGACTTACCTTGAACTCATAGCAGTCCTCCTGCCTTAGCCTTCTCAGTGCTGGGATTACAGGTGTGCACTGTCACCCTAAACTTCATTCTGGCTTTTGCCAGAATTCAAAAAGTCTGAAATCCTAATCTTGCTAGCTATCAGATTTGATGTTCTTTGTTTACAGCTGCCATCCACATTCCTTTTCACATGGTTCACTTTCATATTCAAATTGGCAACAAATAGTATGATCAATCCCTATCATGCTCCAAATCTTTCTGATTTCTGTCCCTCACTAGAAATTAAAAAAAAAGCTTTCTGCTTTCAAAAGTTCATTTGATTGCAGTTGGCCTTCTCTGATAATCTAGGCAATTTCCCCATATTAAAGCCATCTGACTAGTAATTTTACATATGCAAAATACCTTTCGTCAGGTAAGGGAGCATATTTAATGGTGGATTGTCTTATGTAACCATAAAAGGTCCTGTTGCATTGCTGCCTGATGACACCAATAACTCATGGAAGCAGAAGGACAAGAAAGACTTTTATTTGCAACAAGCTAGTAAGTTGGAAGATGGAAGACTTTATCCAAATTCCACCTTGACAGGATCATAGGCACAAAGCTTATGTGAGGTTTCTGAGGAGTCTAATTTTAGTTGTAAACACCAAAACGGTCATTAATTTTTGTGGTAATCAATTCTCTGGATGTGATTTTAATGCTGTCCACAGGTTAACAGGCATTCCAGATTTTCCTTGGTCTGTAAACCTAAAGGAAGATTACTGATTATGAGATCATATGAGTGGTACTGTTCCTTGATATTTTCCTTTACTCTTCTTTCAGGCAAGGCTGACTGATTAGTTATTTGGGGAGTAAGGAATGGGGGAGTGAGGCAAAACAAAAACAGTGAAAGACAAACAGGTGAGTGCAAAAATGAATTAACCTATTCATTAGCATCAGTCAGATTTGCCTGTGCTAGGAGCGCGTTTATCAGCTTCAATCATATTCATAGATCCAAGCACTAGGGTGTGGAATTTTCTTGAGGACTAAAATTATACTCATCAAATCATCAAAGAGCAACAAGTTGCCCAAAACTCTCAGGAGAGACAATCACCTGGCAAAGAAAAGACCCATATACAGTAAATGCAATTACAAATGAAAAAGGTGAAATCACAGCAGAAACCACTGAAATCCAGAAGATTATTAGGAAGTACTTTGACAACTTGTACTCCAACAAATGGGAGAACCTAGAAGAAAGGGACAGATTCTTAGACACATACGAACTGCCAAAACCGAACTAAGAAGATACAGAACTCTGAGTAGTCCAACAACAGGCAATGACATTTGAGGTAGTAATGAAAAACTTACCAAGAAAAGCCCAGGAACTGATGGATTCACTGCTGAATTCTACAAAGAGTTCAGGGAATATCTAACATCCATACTCCTCAAACTTTTTAATGAAATGGAGTGGGATGGAGAACTTTCAAACTCATACCTGGAAGTAAGCAGTCTCCTGATTCCAAAACCAGACATGGCTGCACATAAAAAGAAAAGTACAGTCCAATCTCTATAACAAACATAGACACAAAAATCTTCCACAAAACACTGGCAAATAGAATGCAACAAACCATTAAAAAGATCATGCATCATGACCAAATAGGCTTCATGCCAGGGATGCAAAGATGGTCCAACATATGCAAATCAATAAATGTAATACATCATACAAAAGAAGCAAGGGCAATATTTTAAAATCTCAATAGATGCAGAAAAAGCCTTTGACAAAATTCAACATCCATTCATGATTAAAAAAAAAACCCAACAACCCTCATGAAAATAAATGGTAAAGGCTTTTTTGACAAGTCTGTTAATATCAAATAAAATCAGAAAAAAACTGAAACCTTTCCATCTAAAATCAGGAACAAGACACAGATGTCTACTATCACCACTTCTGTTAAACATAGTTCTCAAAACATTAACCAGAGCAATCAGGCAAGAGAAAGAAATGAAAGAGGTATGCCTAGGAAAAGAAGTCAAATTATCACTCTTTGCAGATGACATGCTCTTTTACTTATTTATTTATTTTTCCTTTTTGAGACAGGGTCTCGCTATGCAGTTCAGGCTGGCCTTGAGCTCACTTTGTAGCCCAGGCTGGTCTGAACTTGCAACGATCCTCCTGCCTCAGCCTCCTGAGTGCTGGGATTATAGGCCTGCGCCACCGCCGGCTACTGGTTTTTTTTTTTTTTTTCGGTATGGGTAATGGAACTCTCGACCTCGTACTTGTCAGGCAGGCGCTGTGCCGCTGAGCTAAATCCCAGCCTCCGACATGCTCTTTTACATTGAAGACCCCCCAAATTTCATCAGCAGACTTATAGAACTAATAAATTCAACAAAGTAACAGGATACAAAATCAAAACACAAAAATCAGTTAAAGCCGGGTGTGGTGGCAAATGCTTGTAATCCCAGGACTCTAGAGGCTGAGGCAGGAATATCACTGTGAGTTTGAGATCAGCCTGGGATACACTGTGAGTTCAAGGCCAGCCTGAATTACAGAGCAAGATGCTATCTCAGAAAAGGGAGGGAAGGAGGAAGGGAGGGAGAGAGAGAGGGAGAGAAAGAGACAGAGAGAAAAGAAAGAAAGAAGGAAAGAGAAAGAAGGAAAGAAAAAGAAAGAAAGAAAGAAAGAAAGAAAGAAAGAAAGAAAGAAAGAACGAACGAACAAGAAAAAGAAAGGAATTAAGAAAAAGACAGACTGCTGGGCATGTACGTCAGTGTGAAGGCGCTGGGTTCAATCCCCAGAACAACAAAGCAAAACAACATAACACATATTTTGAATGTTTTTAGAAACTTTGAAAGGAAGTAAACGGAACTGTCCTATTGTTTAAAGTTGGGACCAGTGTAGTTCAACATTTACTACTAAGAAACAAAACAGAAACGTTTTTGAAGTATTTTGTTCCAAAATAGGACCCGTAGCATCTCCCTCTTCCGCAGCGAAAAGCTTCTCTTAATTGGGCAGCGTGCATCCGCCATGACGCAGGAAGCCACCTCATTGGTCCGCGCGGTCGGGACTCCGGTAGCTCTTCTCTTTAGCGCTCAGGGCGCCGCCTCACTTTTCTTCCTGTAAATCTCTTCCTCCTGGTGGCCTAAACTTCTAGTCCAAAGGGATCCGGACCCAGCCAGGCCGAGTAACTGCTTTAGGATTAGCCAGAAAGAAGCGGCGGGCAAGGCCTAAGGGTGAAGGGTGCTTGGTGAGCCTGGGTAAAACTCTTTATCTTCGGGCCTTCTTTACCCTGATGGTTTCCGCTACTGTCTTCCTCCTTCCCTTGCTGGCCCCTAGCTGCCCCTTGCTTCCCGTCGTTGTCTGCAAGAATCTGAGAACTCGTCCGTCGCCCTTCGGGCGCCGCCTGTGCGAGCGCCCCTCGCCCGTCCCCGCCTCCTGCGCGCCTCCCTGCCGGCCCGCCGGCCCTCCGCGCTCCTCTTCTGGCTCCGCCTGCTCAGGCGCGCGCCTCCCCTGCTGCGCCTCGCCGAGCGCGCGTCGCGCTGTTCTGTCCGACCCCTCATCTCTCTCCCTTACCCAGTGGCACCTCCGTGTTCCCTAAGTTTGATTCTGCCTTGCTGTGCATCTTTTCCCCCGTTAGCTTTACTTCCTTTACACCGTCCTCCCCTTCTGACTATTGGTGCCCGGCCAGGGTGGTGGTGGTGGTGGGGATCACCGGATTAGGCTCCTGATCCAGGCTGCCTCTGTCTGGGTTTAGCAGATGGTGCAGAGGCGTTGTGCTGGGGATTAATTGGAGGTCTCTGCTTTTAAGAGCTCTTGCCCGGTGGGACATATAATAGCGCCAGTGATGAGTCCTTCATGAAGGAATTAATAGTGTTGGAATGCGTAGAGCAGGAGATACTAGAGGGTTTTTCTTCAGTTTTTTTTTTTTTTTTCAATACCTGCTGGATCCTTGAGCCTGTAAGGTCAAAACTGCACTTTCTCCCTCAAAGTAACCTTGTTTCTGATGCAGAACCCGGTGCTAGTCAAGTTCTCTTATTAAACAGTTGCTTGTTATTAAAACAATGACATGGTTCTTGTTTTAAGCAATCGAAATTGACAGGGCTTCAAAGACCATCTAAGTCCTCAGGGAAACAGATGAGAGTGATTATAGATTTAGCCATCCTTTTTTTTTTTTTTTTTTTTTTTGGTGGCGCTGGGAGTCAAACCCATGGCATCGTTCATGCCAGACACGTGCTCTGCCGCTGAACTATTCCCCCAAGGACCCAGCATCAAACTCTTGATGTTCCTTTTCAAGTTTTTCTGGGGGAATTTTTACACAATTTTTCAAGTATCTTGTAGTCTTAGTAGGAAAACTGACGATAAACGTAGATAAAACCACCAATCAGCGAAGCAGATTCCTCCTAGCCATTATGCTAGTTCGGTGTGCATTATTCAGAAGACAGTAGCTCACCCATCAGGCTCCTGGAATCAGGTATATCTAGGATCTGTTACCAGGTCCACTATTTGCTAGAAAGCTTGGCAAAGAAACTCCCCTTGTGTGAGGGAAGTTTTACCTTCTATGTAAAGAACATGATAAACACTTTCACACAGGGTTATGGTAGGGATTTGTTGAAATTCTTATAAAAATTACTTTTAGGTTCCTGTAAGTTGTAGGATCCCAACCTATGAGCCCGCTGTGATTTAGATTCCTATCTCAGTTCCTTGCTCAAACCAGCAAAAAGCTTGATGTGTTGCCCTCTCCCAGGTACCATGACAACCCTGGATGACAAGTTGCTGGGGGAGAAACTGCAGTACTACTACAGTAGCAGTGAGGATGAGGACAGTGACCACGAAGACAAGGACAGAGGCAGGGGTGCTCCAGCCAGCACTTCCATCCCTGCAGAGGCTGAGCTGGCAGGCGAAGGCATCTCAATTAATACAGGTACTGGAAAACCCTGAGCTTTGAGAACAGGATTTAAAGTGTGTATTAAGTGTGTTTCAGTTACAAGTCTCCTGATTTCTTTTCTGTAACTTTACTCTCACTTCCTGAGATAATCTCAGGTTGTCATTTTTGTATGTTTCTAGCCGTTTTACTACACAAAGCAGATAATATGCATGACAGCATGGCAGTGAATAGATTGGCCTGGGTTTGAATCCTGAATCTCAAATTAATAATTATTTGCTATCTCACAAACAGGAGTTTGAGTATATTGGTAGTACAGATTTCTAGAAATGACACATTTTACTTTTTAGTATGGTGCTAGGGGTTGAATCCAGGGCCTTGTGTATGCTAGGTTAGCACTGTCTCACTGAGCTACATCTCCAACCCCATTTGTACATTTTAATATTGTCTATACTGTAAAAGGTGGTGGCACTGTTTATAGTTTAATCAGCAATATATTACCGTGTACGCTTTCCTTTCCCTCCTACTGTATTATTAGACATTTTGGTTTTTGCCAGCCTAATGGATACCTCGGAGTCCTTTTTTTTTTTTTTTTTAAAGAGATGGTGTCTGTTTATGTTGTTCAGGCTGACCTTGAACTTCTGAGCTCAAGTAGTTGTCTTGCCTCAGCTTTACAAGTAGCTGGGACTATAAGTGTGTGCCACTGTGCCCAGTTTGTCATTTGTTTTTAATGAAAAAAAGGTAAAATAAAATTTCATAACAAGATTCATAACAAGATGTTAGGAGAATAACAATAGTTATTACATTGTATATTATTATCTTTAAAGTAGTTACTTAGAGTATAAGGTATGGACATAAAAAATTCTCCAAGAACTTTAATATGTTTGTAATATCTTTCATGGCTGGAAACATAGAACTGCCTTATTCTTTCTAAGTGTTACTTTATTTTGCTCTGAGTGAGCGGATGAATCATAAATAACTCACTTAGGGTTGGACACTGGGTTAGTCCTTTACTTATTGCAGAGTGTGCTGTAGTGCATCTTATTGTGTGTAGACGACTATGCCCTGTGCCAGAGGACTGGGAGCTTCTCTATTAACTGTGGCACAGGTAGAGCAAGCTTCAGATAGATGAGAGCTCCTGCCTTTGTGTGAAGTGGTCCATAATTTCTTGCCTTTTCTTGGTCACATGCACGATTACCCCGCACAGGTCCAAAAGGTGTGATCAATGACTGGCGCCGCTTCAAACAGTTGGAGACAGAACAGAGGGAGGAGCAGTGCCGGGAGATGGAAAGGCTGATCAAGAAGCTGTCTATGACCTGCAGGTCCCATCTGGATGAAGAGGAAGAGCAACAGAAACAGAAGGACCTCCAGGAGAAGATTAGTGGGAAGGTAATTAGCAGCAATCAGGCTTTTTCAGAAGCCACCCTGGCTGGTAGAACTGGACTTAGTGATTCAGGAGGTGCAGGTTGTTGGATTTGGCTTCCAAGAAACTACATTGTACAGGAAAGCAGAGAGCTGTTTCATAAATCAGGCATACCCAGGTTTGAATCTCAGCTCTGCCACTAGTGACTGTGGGAAAATCTCTTCCTGAGGCCAGTTTTTCATTTGTTAAATGAGGTCACTATGTTGTACCCCTAGGGCTATATGGATAAAATGCCTGTCACCTTGACTGGCCCTTAGAAACTGCTGAGCGAATGTTAGCTTCCTGACATTGGTTGATGTCTTGTTTTAGGCCAGAAATAACCCTCTGAAGGTGGTGGGGTTATCCCTATTCTACAGATGATGAAAGCAATGTTTAGAGAAAGTGACTTAGAGTAATTCAAGCCACAGTGGTAGGAGCTAAGATTCTAACTCACATTTTTATGTTCTTTCTGTGATTTTAAGGAGGCATTATCATAAAAGCAAACACTCTGGAAGATACTTGTAACCATTTCCCTGACTTTCCCCTAGTTTCTCAGAATTAAAAGCACTCTTCTGGCCTTCCGGCCATGGAAGAAAGTCTAGGAGTGCTGTGGATTGGTTAGGTGTGGCCTACAGCTAGAATCGCCAAGATCAGGGAGTGGATAAGACCAGTAAGCCAGGAGTCATTCATCTTTAGTAGGAGGATGATTTCAGCATGTAAAACTAAAGCAAAGATGGTAGCGGGTTAGAAAGAGCCATCTGGTGGATTAAAGGGGAAGAAAATTGGAAATAAGTAAAACTGAACTTAGAATGGTTATGACAGTAACAATATCTGTTCTAATCTAGTGTGATCTCCAACTCACCACCTTCTAATGTGTACAGGATTAGGTAGAGTAAGGTTTACTACAGGAGCAGGGATACCTTTGTGCACCAGTCAGGAGAAGGAAAGCTTCGTTAATTAAACTGGCCATAGGGCAGTTTGCCTGCTACTTACAGCTACTTCTTGATACTTAGGCAAGAGACCAGAATAGAGTATTGGGGAATGATTAAGCAAAATATAACATATTTATATGTAATTTTATGAAACTACTTGAAAACATAAGAAATATCTATAAATTATTATTAATATTCACTAAGAAGCAAAATGAGTTATTGCATAATTGGAACACCCACAGCTGCTGCTATGAAAGCAAAACTATTCCAGCATGTAACTGGTAATAAGAAAAATGAGTTCTCAGCGTGTATATGACCACGAATGTGTTGTATGCAGGGCAGAGATTTTGAGTGTTCTTTTTGAAGTTTCTTCATATCCTGTTGTCTTTTTTTCTGCTTGTTTGCTTTTTGATACTGGGTGTTGAAGTCTGAGCCTTTGCATTGAGCTATCCTCTCCTCCCCTCTTTCTAATCTTGAGTGCTTGTTTGGAGTTCTAGCAGGGGAGGGAAACTACTCCTATCCCCTTGACCGAGGAAACGGTTCTCCTCTTTCAGAGGTGATTGTCCTTTTTGACTGAGTGCGCAGCTTTGGGAGGGACTCAACATGCAGTGGTGAGGGAGGGTGGGACACCCGCCTAGCCAGCCAGATCAGCCAAATCAACCCTGGCGATCACTGGGGTGACAGATGTTGCAGTCAGATTGCTGATACATTCTTTTTCTTTAATCTTGAGGCAGGATCTCACTAAGTCTGTTGACTTATCAAGGCTGGGCTTGAACTTCGAGTTCTGTTTCAGCCTCCAGAGTGCTGGGATTATAGGCCTGTGCCACCAAGCCTGGTGTCCTGTTGCCTTAACAACAACACAACAAAACAGTGAATAAAATAATATCTGTCAAGGCAAAAAGAAATAGTGTAGTGAAGTGATATCTGATGGTACCTATTTGGATTGAAAGGCAGTATGGTATTGTAGTTAAAAGCCTGTTTTGTTTCCCATTTTGGAATACAGTTTACTTTTTACCTAGTACAGTGAACATGTGCAAAACCTATGATCCAATTGTCCTTTTCCTCATTACACATCATAGGGAAACCTGTATATTTATACCAGCAAATGTGTGTAAAAATACTTAAAATAGTATTATTCATTTTTTTTCTATTTTAAAGAGTAAAAGAAGGATAACATAATAATGGGGGGGCTTACCAAATTACAGACAAAGTGGTAGGAAATTATCAATGGTTATTGTTTTACATATTGTTATCTACAAGATAGTTTCTCAGGAAAACAAATAGACAAATAATAGTGAGCTATAGACAAAAGAGGTAGGAGATTATCAATAGTGATTGTACTATACTTAGGTATCTTCAAAGTGGCTTCTAAAGAAAATAAATAGAACTATACATGAGTGATCTATTGAATAATCATTAACTATTCTCAATGGTGGTTGTAGTAAACACAAAATAGTAAACATGCATCCATTTATGAAATAGGATAGGAACAATACAGACAGCAGAGTTATGGATATATCAGTAGGAAAATATCATTGGCTGCTGTAATACATGGTGGTATTTTTGAAGTGGTTTCTCAGGAAGACAGAGATACACAAGAAGGATCTAACAAGTAGTTACAGCCTAAGAGTTTTCAAAAATCAAGTGAGCCGTCTGGGGTGAAAGCCATTTTTTGGAGCATTTTCTCTCCAGCCTGCCGTCGCATTGGGACCCCACAACCAGTTAGTGTCCTCTCCCTAACTGTCAGCACAGGCAGCAGGAATCCTGCTACAGACTTCTCCGGAGCTCCACCACAGCCTGTACTGTCAGGGGAAGAATGGCTTCCAGGGAGTCTCTGCAGGTATTGTGCAAGGTCTTCCTGGTATATAGCTTCCGAGTGGCTCTCATGACCCCGGCCCACAGGACCTCTGACTCCTCGGGCTTAGTCTGCATTCTCATGTTCTGTGAGTCCTTGTTCAGCAGCTGCTCCTCTGCTGACTCTGGACCTTTCTGGTTCTCAATGGCAGGAGCAAGAGTGGCCTGTTGTATGGCATGTATTCCCAGGGGTTTTTTCGTGTTTGAATGGTTCATACACATCTGTGTGTGGGCATCTGCAACAGCCGGTGCTTGGTGAGCCAGTTGTGTCATTGCTTTTCTGTGTCATGATAGTTCTCAATTGAGCGGCGGCAGCCGGCCTGAGGGCCAGCGTGCAACAGCGCTCCCAGCTGCATGGCTTCCCGTGCGCCGGGGGCCCTCCCTCTGGGGGCCTACGAGGCAGGAAGCCAGCCATCTGGAAGACTGGTGCTCCCCGCCTGTGGCTCCCTGTGCCCTGGGGGCCCTCAGTATTCATGATATAAAAAAAACCTGGAAAAAACACAAATGCCTATCAATAGTCCAAAAGATAAATTCTTATCCATGCAACAGAATACTATACATCAATGAAAATGCACAAACTACAACTACGCAGCAAAATGGATGAAGATCATTAATGATGTTGAATAATGAAAGTCAGAAAAATGCATTAACTATGGTCTTTCATATAACATTCAAAATAGTCAAAACTAAACAAAAGACTATTTAAGGGTAAATAGATGATGCAAGTATGAGTAAAAACCAGATTATTACACAAAACCAAGGTCATGGTTTGCTGTGGAAGAGTGAAAAATACTTGGGATTATTGAAGAGCACAGACAACTTCTAAGGTGCAGGCAGTATTTTGTTTTAACATGAATAGAGATTGTATCAGTGTTCATTTAATTATAATTCATTAAATGATATAAATAAAAAAAGAAAGCCTGGGTTTTAAAAATCTAATTGGAGTCCTGGTCTTAGTTTACTACCTATGTGAACTTGTGCAAATAATGTAAAGTCTTAGAACCTCATTTATGAAGTAGGGGTTATAAAACTCTTTTTCTGATGGGGTTATCAAGAAGCCAGAGAGCCAGGCATGGTCGAGCATACTCATAGCCCTGTCTACTTGCAGACCAAGTCAAGAGGATTGCTTGAGTTCAGGAGTTTGGGGTATTTCACAATACAGTGAGACTCTGTCTCTTTCCGTCTGTCTCCCTCTCTCTCTCTTCTTTTTGGTCCAGTACCAGGGATTGAACCCAGGCCCTTGTGTGAAGTAGTTGGATGCTTTGCCATGGAACTAGATTCCCTCCCCTGACCTCATCTCTTAAAAAAAAATAGATAATATGCATAAAGGACTTAGCATATGCCTAATGTATTATAAGCACAAAGTGCATATTGCCTTTGTCACAAGTGTTGACTATGTCTTTATCCTTACGTGCCGATTCTCTTGCAGATGACTCTGAAGGAGTTCACCATGATGAATGAGGACCAAGATGATGAGGAGTTTCTGCAGCAGTACCGGAAGCAGAGGATGGAAGAAATGCGGCAGCAGTTACACAAGGGACCCCAATTCAAGCAGGTTTTTGAAATCCCTAGTGGAGAAGGGTTTTTAGACATGATTGATAAAGAACAGAAGGGCACCCTCATTATGGTCCATATTTATGAGAATGGCATTCCAGGGACTGAAGCCATGCATGGCTGCATGATCTGCCTTGCTGCAGAGTACCCAGCTGTCAAATTCTGCAGGGTAAAGAGCTCAGTTATTGGGGCCAGCAGTCGGTTTACCCGGAATGCCCTTCCTGCCCTGCTGATCTACAAGGGAGGTGAATTGGTTGGCAATTTTGTTCGTGTCACTGACCAGCTGGGGGAAGATTTCTTTGCTGTGGACCTTGAAGCTTTTCTACAGGAATTTGGATTACTCCCAGAAAAGGAAGTCTTGGTGCTGACGTCTGTGCGTAACTCTGCCACCTGTCACAGTGAAGACAGCGATCTGGAAATAGATTGAACCGATGGTCTTGTTGCACAGATTTCTCACTGTTTGGTCTGGAAGACACATGTCTGTGTTTATTTTTGTTCCTTCTTGTGTCTCTGGCTTTTCAGCTGTTCTTTGTAGTCTCTTATTATGTGGAAAGTAAAGACATTCTTAGATTAAATCAGAATGCTGAGTCACCTTTTGGCCAGCAATAAAGTAACCTAAAACTATATAAACAGGAAGCCAGGCTTTTGAGCTGTTTACTTAAGATTCTCTAGCATGACATCTCTGTTATTGTTTCCAGTCATTATTTACATGGCATCCTAAAACATTGTCCTGGAAATTGCCTTATGACTTTCAGAGGTCTCTGCCAGGTCTGAGAATAGAAGTTTCTGTTCCATGTGTTATTTGCAGTGGAAATCATGCATTTCCCTAATCAAATGATTGTAATTTATATTTACCAGTAATCAGATCCATAGCTCTATAATGTAGTTAAATGTTTTCCTCAGACCCTCTTCTTCCCCAGGATCTTGTTTGAAGGTTCCAGGTGAAGCCACGGATGTAGTTATTGCTGGCCTAGCGTGTGTAACACTGTAGATTTGGTCCCCAGTACTGCCAAAAAAAAAAAAAAAAGAAAAAAACGGTTCTGGAGATGTGTGCTTGCCCTGTCAAGGGGGTGACTGCGCCTGCTGGGGTAAGTGGCTTCTCCAGCACTGTGAAGCCTGGAATGAGAGGAAGGGTTTTTGCTTACTGCTGTTGTGATACTCTGCACAGCCAGTGTTTTATTGACCCAAACATTGGATCTGGGCTGCAGCTGGAAAGCTCGTTAAAGGAGGATCTTTTAGGTGCTATCTCTGGTGTCTGTCTATTATTTAATAAGGTAACAGTGTTTAATGTAGATTTTTTTTAAAGAATTTTTTCTGGATTACTGGAAAAATAAATCATAGTAGAGGAAAACTGACCAAAACACAGAAGCCAAAATAGATAATTAGAATAATCTCTAATCCTATCCCTCAGAGTAAAACACTATTAATGTTTTGGTATATTTCCTACCAAGGTGTTTTCTTTGTATACATAGACATTTTGCTTGTTTTTAAACAAAGCATTGGGATCATTCTGAACATACTGTTTTATAGTATGGTTAGCTAACAATATATTTTTTTCATATTACTAAATTTTCTTCTATAACTTTTTTAAATAGTTGAGATTCCATTGAGTAGATATACTGTAATTTGCTTGATGATTATCTTTTAGAAAGATAGCAAACACTTTTTTAATTAGAAAAATAATAGCCATTCGTTGTAGAGCATGTAATGAAAATCATTAAGGAAAAGAGATTTAAAAAGCCATTTCACTAACCAAAATAAACTCTTACATTTTTGTAGGTATCTCTACTTTTTTTTCTCTTTTGTGGTATTTATAACAGTGGCTGTCATTCAGGTTGTTTCTTTTAGTTTCTTATTTACAATATACATCCTAGGATCAGGGAAAATACAATCTGGGATTAAATATTAGTTTTTAAGTTCATGGTTTTGTTTTCTCGGCTGTTCTGGCTTTGATTAACTAGAAGAGTCTACGTGATGTGATGTCTTTAACCAATAAGAAGAAAGTACATGGTTTTTCTGACTACGGAAGCTCATTGAAGAAAGTGGAAAGCATAGAAAATTATTAGAAGCAGAGACTGCTCTTGTCAGCATTGTGAGTTTTCAGTATGTGTAATAGTTGAGAGCTTTCAAATTTTGTTCTGTGCTGTGCCCTATTGAATATTACTGTCCTGCCTCAGTACTTATCAGATTGATTCAGGGACTCGTAAGGAGGGCTGAGACTGATGAGTTCCAAAATGAATTTTTCCCATAAGAAACAATGTAGTTAGAAATAATTTATGAAAGTTCCCCAGGACTTTCCTGTTATACTGGGCTAATGTAAGCCTTTTAGGCTTAAAGGTATCATTCTTAACCTTTCTGGGGCCCATGATTAGCACTTAAAATGCATGGAAGTACAAGAGGACAAGTGTTTTCTGCACTGTTCAAGAACTACTGTGAGACTGATGCAAGTGCCGAGGGCTGGAACAGTTTTTCTTGTTAAAATGTGACAGAGGACAGAGGAGTGGTGGCGCACGCCTGTAATCTCAGCACTCTGGAGGCTAAGGCAGGAGGGTTTCCACGAGTTCGAGGCCAGCCTGGATTATATAGTGAGGACTATGTTGTCTCAAAGTGACTACTGCAGCAACAAAGTGACTACTGCATTTGAAGCCGAGGAGTACCAAAGTATGGCTGTGATAAATACTTTGATATGTTACTAAAATTCTAAATAAATAATTTTTAATGGCTTTGTGATATTCCATCATTTGTGTACACATAATTTATTTAACCAGGCCTTTTGTACTGGATATTTAGATTACTAGTGTTCTGCTAAAATAAATATTTAGTATCTTTGTTTTTTGGGCCATGTTCCAAGTTGTTCTCATGGTACAGTTGTCTAGAAGAGGAATCGCTGGGCAAATGGAGAGGAACTTTTAAAACAGCTTTTACGAACCATCTTCTATTCTTGGAGATGAAAATACACACAACCTTGACTGTCCTTTTAAGAGACAGAAATTTGAAAATAAAGGGAACGGACGCTTGGTGGGAAATCCTGTAACATTACATCTGACTCAGATGTTGAAGCAATTGCATGGGCTTTGGAGTCAAAATAGCTGGGTCTGGTCCTGTTTCTGTTATTTGAGAGTGCTACAGCTTTTGGCAAGGGATGCATCCTTCCTGAGGGTCAGCTTCATATTTAGAATAGGAACCAAGCTACCTGTTCGTGGAGTTAGTCTGACAGTGGTTCTCATGTGCAATGTCCTGGTGCATCAGTGTCACCTGGAAGCTCGTCGGAAAGGCAGATTTTCTGGCTTCGCTGACCTACTGAATCAGGAGTGCTGGAGCTCAGTGGTAGAACACTTTCCTGGCATGTGTAAGACCCTGGGTTTGATCCCCAGCACCATACAAAAAAAAACAAAAAAAAACAAAGAAACCAAAAACAAGTTGTAGGTCCTTTAGCAGTTAACAGGGGAACATTAATAAACATTAAAAAATGTTAATGAGGGAAGGAATTGAGATAGTGCCCAGATTGATTCTGTCTTTGTCTTTATTTTACGCCATTCTCCTTTTTAGCTATGAGATTGAAATAAGGATATAGTAATTAATAGTTGTCTATCGTAAACTGTCCCCATAGTTTTCTAGATTTCACTTTCCGAAAGTTCCACCAAGGGCTGGACTTTGTGTGCCTCTTTGTGTTTGGCACAGAGTATAAGGTTTGGTCTTGGAATAGGTCAGCACTTACAAGCTTTGTGAGTGAGACTCCTCTGTGCCTCAGTTTCCTCATTTGTAGAGTGAAGATGGTGACTGAGGTGAAGTCATACAGGATTCACAACATTTTTTATCACTCTACTGCTCACAAAAGATCATTAAACATTTAAAATGTTCAATTGGCTCCTTGAATGGTGTGTATTTTCAAGGTAGGAAGTGGTAAATTTTCAAAGATGTGGAACCCAAAACTTTGTGGGGTTAAGTGACATTTCAAGTTGTACAGCTAAGGGAGCAGGTCAGGATTTAAAATCATGCTTGTGTAGGCCCAAAACTTCATCTTATGTCCATGATGTCAGGTTTTTGGTGGAGTTATATGATCAAGTGACAGTAAAATAAAAAAAAAAATTTAAGAAAAGGTAGCAGATGAGGTTAGAGAATGAAAATAAGGAGAAATTAAGAGGAGATAAAAAGAGTTAAGCTGGGTGGAGTCTTGAGTCTGTCGGACCTACTTGTGTCTCAAGTCAGAATCTTTCTTTGGCTATTACATACAACATAGCACTACTGAGAGGTCGCACCTCCCATCATAACTTTAGGGTGTTCTTACTCCCAACCCCCATGCCCCGTACTGCTGCCTACATCTCCCATGGGTGACAGCAATGGAACAGTGAACAGTTCACGCCTTCCAGCTTCCCTTGGAAACCAGCTGCGGGCTTTCTGGTAAGTTTCTTCCTTATTTCTGCACCTCAGTTTCCCCACATATGAAGTGGGTGTTTGACTTAGAGGACCCTTAAGACTCAAGTCTCACATTTTATTAAGTATAATTTTAAAAAATACACCTGTTATCTTGAAAACTTAGAAACCTACAGAAACATTAAACAGTTGCAATGAACACAGGTATATTCTTTGCTAAACTTCACTGATAGCCTTTGAGTAGATATATTGAGTGTTTTTGAGGAACCACTTGAAAGTCAGTTGTAGACATCTTGACCTCACCCCTAAATACTTCATACATCTCTTAAGAATAAGATCACTCCCCCTCATAAAGGCAATACCATTATCACTCCATTAATAATTCAGTAATATCCAAAATATAGGTCATATTCAATTTTCCCTACTTGCTCCCCAAATTTATTCTTTCTTTCCTCCCTCCCTCTTCTCTCCCTCCCTGCCTCTTTCTTTCTTTCTCTCCCTCCCTGCCTCTCTCTCCCTCCCTGCCTCTCTCTCCCTCCCTCCCTCCCCCCCCCTCTCTTCTCTCTCTCTCTCCTCTCCTCTTTCTTTCTTTCTTTCTTTCTTTCTTGAGACAGGGTCTCGCTGTATAGTTTAGGCTGCTCCTGGACATACTATGTAGCCCAGGCTGGCCTTGAATTTTGTAGCAATCCTCTTGCCTCAGCCTCCCAGTGCTGGGATTTATATGCCAGGCCACAAATTTCTTTTAACTTCCTTAAAAAAACCCTCTAAACTCCTATTAAGAGTCACGTGCACTAACTGCACTTCGTGCCATTTTAGTCTGCCCCCCGACAAACGCAGGGCCTTGGGCATGCTAGGTAAGTGGTCTACCACTGAGCTATACTGTCAGCCCACTTTAGTTTCCTTTAAACTACACAAGTCCCTTGCCCTCTATTCTGCGTTTTAAATCAGTGACTTATTATTTTTTATTTAGTTTTTAGCTGGCATGGCTGGGCCAGAACCGGTGAAAGGATGGGGCAAGTGGGTGCTCAGCTACACATTTTTTGCTGTGGTGTGTGCCTGTGTGTGTGCATACGTGTGTGTGCGTGTTGGGGATTGAACTCAGGAGTTTACACATGAAAGAATCTGGATCAGTTGTCTTATAGAATGCTCCACATTCCAGTTTCTCAGATATTTTTTCTTATTTTTGGCAATAATACAAGAAAAAGTTACTGTATCAAGTCAGGGGTGACTATAATTATTTTGGTCAGGTGGTGAAAGCTTGCTATGGTCTGAATATGGGTTGTGTTAAAGGACGATCTCCAGGGTGTCAGTATTGGGTAGTGCTGTGGACTTCTAAGAGATGGGACTCTGGGAAGTCTGTAGGTCGCTGGGGGTGTGGCTTTGACGGAGATTGGCTGACCCTGGTCCCTGAGTCTTTTTCTGCTTCCTGGCTGGGATATAAGTGTTTTGTCTCACTGTCATCCACCATTATGTGCTGCGCTCCTGAGAGGCTCAAAGTGATGGAGCCGCTGGATCCTGGGCTAGAACCTTCAGAACTGTGAGCCAAAATCAAACTTTTCTTTTTATAAGTTCATTGCCACAGTCATTTCATTATGATGTCTCAAAGCTGACCAATCAATGCCAGCTTTGCGAGCTGTAGTGTGGCTACACGTGGCAGCATGGTGGTGTGACTCAACCCAAGTTTGAAAGCCTCAGCACCGGGGAACCAGTGGTGTGACTTTCAGCCTGAGGCCAAAGGCCTGAGAACCTGGGGGTGGGGGGCTGTGTAAGTCCAAAGACCAGCGAGCCTGGAGTTTTGATGTGAAAAGGCAGGAGGAGAAGAGTGTTACAGCTCCCAAAGAGTGAGAGGGAGCCCCTCCCCCAACTCTTTTTTTTGAGACGGGGTCTCACCATATGTAGTCCAGGTTGGGCTTCAACTTGCCATGCACCTAGGCTGGCCTCAAACTCACAATCTTCCTGCCTCAGCCTGCCAAGTGCTGAGATTATAGGCGTGGCTCCCACACCTGCTAAGAATTTATTTTGATTGTGTAAATAGCTGGATAAATGTCTCAGTCCCTCTGATCTTTGGTCTTCCAGATTGAGGGTAATCATGGTACCTATTTCATAGTGTCTGAGAGCATTCTGGGGGTCAAAGTTTTTAGAACAATATGTCACTTAGCAAATGTTCAATTCATACCATCTGTTTGTTTTTCCTCTCGATTACCCACTGTCTATAAAACCCTGGCCTTGATCCACTTATTGAAGAAGGGCTGTCACATCCTGAATACTCCTTGAAGGGTTGGGATAACTCTATTTATTCTTCAAAACTCAGCTCAAACCTCATATCTTCTTTGGGTCGTTTGCTGTCCCTCTCTCTAAAGAAGCAGCCACATGAATGTGTGTTGCTACAGGTGATAGCAACATTGGTTAAGGAAAAGGTTGAGGGTTCAAAGAGTGTACCTGGGAAGTACTAGCTATTTTTTTCCCACCTCTACAGGAGGTTCTAATTGTAGTTGGGAGGAGAGGGCAGTAAGTTAACATCAGTAAAAGGGCAGCAGCATTTTGCTGAACTCATAGAAATTTCTCAGTATTGTCATCATGCCATCATTTGATTAATTTTTTTATCTTAAAGAGAAAGAAACCCACTAAAAACAATGATACAAAATTTCAAACCAAGATAGTCAGTTAGTACATTGCTTATTGCTATCTTCAAAGTAATTGCTCGGATTACAAGATATAGTCATGAAAACTTGATCAAATGATATAAGCACACGCCTTTCTTTTCAATGAATAGAAATTAGTAGTATAGCTATCTTGTATATATATTTCCTTTTCCTTTTCCCTTCCTTTTTTTTCTCCTTTTCCCCCATCCCAGTTTCTCTTTCCTTTTAAACAATTTCTTCCCATTTCCCAATATCTATTGTACATTTTGGATCTTATTTACTCTTTCAGCTTCTTACTCTAGGGGGACAATGTGATATTTACATATGCGAGACTGATTTATTTCATTTATGAGTATGGTCTCTAGTTGTATCCATTTACCTATAAAAGTTTATCCTTCTTTGTAGCTGAGTAGTACTCTATTGTATAAATATACCACCTCCTTTTTATCCATTCCTTGATTGATGGGCATTTGGGTTGTTTCCAAGTTTTAACTATTACAAATTGTGCTGCTGTAAACATGGGTGCGCATATATCACTGTGGGGTGGTGTTTTTAATTCTTCTGGGAAAATACCCAGAAGGGGAATAGCTGGATTGAATGGGACCTCTAATCCTAGTTCTTTAAGGAATTGCCACACTGATTTCCACAGTAGCTGCACCAGTCTGAAGTCCCACCAACAGTGGAGAAGGGTTCCTTTTCCCCCACAA